TTTACACAAGTTGTCTTTGCCCATTGCCGTGACGAGCGCCGCTCTCCCGACCTCGAAATATGGCCGCGACGACATGGCCTGTCGGAATCTGAGCGCCGCTCTCCTGGCCGCGACGAGCTTCAGTGTGGCGACTACTGCGAAGTCGTCACAACATCGATCTGAGCGCCAACAGATGGTGGAGGTGGTCGATCTGTGGTATGTGTTTTGATTTGTGCGATTTGTGTGGTGGTGCTGGAGATTGATGCTGTGAGATGGGTGGTGTGGTTTGTGTTTTAGGGGTACTTGTTGTGGTGATTGTTTACTGGTGGTGGTGCGTTTTTGTTGTTGGTGGCGATGGGCAGTAACGATGGCTAAGCGGTGGTGGTTCGTTTTTGTTGGTGGTAGAGGTGGTTGTTGGTGGTGGCGGTCACGGTGGTGCATTTCTGTTGGTGGTGAAGGAGGTGGTTTCCCGTGGTGTTGGTGGCTGTGGCGATAGTACAGAGGTGGTGGTGGTGGTGGATCTTGACATTTTGGTTTCCTGTGACCTTAAAATTCGGTAATTTGTGACTAAAAATATAATCTATAACCAACCATTTTGTTATCTGTGACCTAAAAATTATATAATATGTGACCATGAAAAAATCAGTGACCAACTAATTTGGAAGTATGTGAACATGTGACTTATAAAAATGTTGTGACCAAAAATCAATATTAACAGGTCACATGTGTTTGTAGAGTCACGGTTCAAAAATACAGATCACATTTATCGGAATATCGTCAGAAAGATCATCGGCATAGTCGCCGGAATCGGATCAGTTGTCGAAATGGTTATCGGAAGTCGTCGGAATCGGAGAAGTTACCGGAACGGTCACCTGTAAATTTGAAAGTATATGTCAAATATCTAATTTTAGAAATTTGAAAGTTGTTTTCTTATTTTTGAAATAATATATAATAAAAATAGAAGAAATGAATTTTTCCCTATTTATATTTGTGTATTTGAAGGTGTATGTATAGCTTCAAGAGTTGTCACAAGACACAAATCACTTGCTGTAATTTAAAAAGTTTGTAAGGGTAATTTGGTTAAATTTTTTGAAAAGTTACCAATCCATTCCTGTAAATATTTTCAAAATGGGACAAATTTCGTAAAGGTGAACATTTCATGCAATTTCCTCTTTCAAGTTTACATACTACGAACACAAAGTTTATTTTAAATTTGTTGACCTTAATATTCATAGAAAATGAGTATGCATGCCAGACTCATTGTCTTGAGAAACTGGCATTCAAGGATTTTAACGTGTGAACTAGTATCTTCTAGACAGTCAACCGATCTGTATAATTTCAAGATTCTATGAACTGTCTAGGCAGTTTTGTTTCCATTGATAGTTCGCAATATTAACTATCTAGAATGCATGAGCTATCCAGTATTCCAAACTAATAACTTTACATATGAAATAAGTGTATCGTACTCATTCTGTTGAGGAATCGGCACTAACGACTTTATATGTCAGACAATATAACTTCGAAATAATAAAATTATCAAACTATCTAAGTATTATTTTTTGCCTTGACGGTTTACATTATAAATTGTCCGGCATGTGCGAACGTCAAAACGTATAAACTGTCAAAAAGTATAGTGATTCAATTGTTCGATCGTGGATGAATGCTCTGTTCCTGTTACTTAAATATATACTTGAAAGTTTTTACTCCATGGAGACTAAAGTGGCCTAAAATAGAAAAAAATGATATATTCAACAATTGCTACTTACCAAGGGCGGACACAGATATTTTGAATTGGGGGGTACAATCAAATCTTGTACAAATCGAATATTTTGTTCTTGATTTTTGAATGATTCATACTTTATTCGAGACAATACAGATTTACATTTAAAAAACATTTCTTCATTAATTTTTGGTAATCATTTTCATCCATTTGATTTTGAAGAGTCATTTTATTAATGTTTTGTTTATCACAAGAAAATGCATATTTACGTTTAAAAATCTGATAATGTATTTGATACAAATAATCAATTCAAGTAATCGAAAGGAAAAACATAATTTTTTAAATATAAGTCAAATTGGATATAATAAATTTAGACACATTCTATATAGAAAATACAAAATTAAGTTCTAATTACTTGAAATTTTGATTAGAAAGTGAAAATTTGTAGTAAATGTGATAATTGTATAGAGATTATATACAAATTCTCAAAAATTAAAATAGTTAAGATTTTGTTAAAAGGCGAGAAAAAAGAGAAAAATTCAAATTTATTGTGATCTTGCCCATGTTTAGTGGAGATTAAAATTAAATTTTTAGTAAATTTTGATAAAAGTTAAATAGTTATGGATTCCATGAACTACGTTATTAAAATTAACTGTTAATTTTGATTTTGATTTCAATCGATACCAAAAATAACTTTATTAAAAATAAAAAAATCAAAAGCTAGGGTGTCACGTGACCTCCTAGGACCCACGGGTCCGCCCCTGCTACTTACTTTATACAATTTGGATAAATTCAAGTGGGGTGTACAAATTGACGTGTCCTACCTTGATATATCTATATCGGTCATTTATAATAGATATAAATTTAAGGTTATAAATTATACCGTTAAGACAGGAGACTAGGATGAAGCAAAAACTGGAAAAAGTGGCTAGGTCACTTTTGGAGGGTTTATAGAAAAAAAAAAAAAAATTAAGGGACTCAAAAGTAAATTAGAAATACCAATTAGCCCCTTAAACCCCAAGACTCTATCCTATTATAGCTGGGAATAATATTGCCCACTATTCACATGGCCTATAGGTTGGGGATGGGGTGGGTTGGGGTAATTAGGTAGCAAGTCGATCAAAATGGAAGAAAATATAGGGAGGCCAAAATATTCTTATTCAAGCCTATAATATAAAGGATCATTCTTGTGGTATATCAAGGGGTACATCAGAGTGTCCATAATGAATACTCAGAGCGCTCCCATTGGTGAGGGCACCTGTGGGACCGGCTCTCCCACCAATGGGAGCGCGCCTGGTATCCATTATGGACACCTTGATGTACATGGTGATGTACATCAAGAATTATCCTAATACAAATCCCATTTTCATTACCAATTAATTGAAGTTTTAGGAATATTCACTTCATTATTTAGACATCTTAAATACTCAATAATTAACCACTCTACATGAAGTATAGTTTGGATTTTAACTAAATTATTGCATTATAATTATCTTACTATTGCACTTTTTATTCAATGTAAGATGGTTGGTTTAGCCACCAACCAACTTCAGCTAAATATGGTCTGCGTCAATATGCCTATGGACACTTTGCCTAATAGGAACGTACGTAAGAGAAATTGTATTGCTTACTAAACATGCGCCTAATGTAATGTTCATCATCACATTCCCTCTATTTATCTTTTTCCTACATAAGGCAAGCGTAATGCACGTGTTTGTAGACCGACAAAATCATGTATACCATAACTCAACATTTATTTTCCCTTATAGGATCCATAATTCGGGTTTGACAACTTTTTTGGCTATTTTTCTCCCTTCTGATTTTTAAAACTCATTGCTTCATTAGTAAAAGTAAATTAATCCTTGTTAAATGATTCTTGAGGAAAAAATAAAAAAATATTCTGTGTAAAGAATTTATGGCCTTTAGTGAATGGAACAAATGGTGTGGACAAGACGAGAATAGGAATTGCCAGTCAAGACGGTACCCTATTGACATCACAATCCAACTGTGAAGTTTCTGGGATCCCATTGAATTACTTCAGCCTATCATAACATCTCGCTGGTCCAATAAGATTGCCTAGTCTGCATCACTTTTTTCTTCAATGCAGAACAGCTACCAATTCTAGACATCCTTCCATAAAATTAAAAAAAAGAATAATTCCCTGTTCACATAAATCAGCACATGTATGGTGCAATTTCTGTCATTTTTCTGTCGAAAATCAATGAAAAATTACCAAGTTTTCTTCTATAAAAATTATGTCAACATTTCTGCACCAATAGCATAACTGATTAAAAAATTTCCAACTTCATACTGGCAAAAGAAAATTCATGCAACTGACTAAACTTTGCCGTCTTTCAACACCCCCATTATCAGCAGGCAATGAATATACTAGGAGCACAAAAATCCTTCCATTCAAATAGAACAATTCACATTTAACCTCAAACAAAGTGAATAATTTAGAACAAAGCATGCAAATACTTAATTTATGCAATCATGCTTGGTGTACACCAAGGTTTGGCAAATTGTCATTTGTCAATTCAAAAAACAAAATCAGTTTTCCTACCACAATTTTTTGAAAACAAAGGCAACGTCAACAATCATGTGAATGGAAGAATGTACAAATGACAAAATACTAATTCACACGCTCAACAGTGGTAGGTCAAAACATTATTCAGAAAGGTACTTGCAGCACTTTCCCCACCATGCAATGCAGTAATTGCACCCACCAATCTACTGTCAAAGCCAATAAATCACGAGGAAATGTGATTTCCTATAAAAATTACAGCATTTAAATTTTCAGGACCACTTGGGCTGGCTATTCCAGTTCTCACAGTGCCTAATGCACCCTGCCCATGTTCATAAAAGATGAATGTCATAAGATACTGATAGAAAATACACACTTCCAATTTATCTACATTGCACACTGTGAATTGTCAAAAGTAGCTGTATCATAACTTGTACAGGTTTTCTACCTACTACAAGTCGCCATATAAACTCCTTAGGGTTAATCCATTTGTACATAATGAATTGTACATAATGGATTACTCCCTCACATAATGTGTGGGGCCCACGTGTATTTAAAAATTCCGACAATGTGGTCCTCACCCCATTGTGAGTAGTAGGTAAAAGATTCGGTAAAAAAATTCGGTACATGTAGCATGATCCAACTCCTTATTAAATGCCTCGACTTTATTTCAAACTGATGTTCCTCAAGAAAGCAACCAAGTTATATCTGTACTATTGAATATCTTAGAAAGTTATTTTTTCCTTCAGTACCATTTCCAAAAGTTGCAATATTTTCATGGAGTTCAGTGGTGAAAATCCCCATTGGAATTTGGTGGATGAAGAAAGGAAACACATGAACTTACCTCGAAGATTTTCATTTGGAAACAATGAAGCTGATTCTGAATTCACTTCAGCAAGAACATCTTGTGTGTCAGCAGCTTCATTCCCGCTTTGGCCTATTAGCCCTGAGACGCCATGGACACGCTCTCCCGTGCGCGTCTCTTTATCTCCACCTCCTCTATATCATTGCTTAGCCTCACTCCATCGCAGCGAAGGTAACATCTTCTCTATAGCAGTCACAAACGACTTCATTTATACAGGGTCTGCAAGCAGTAGGATCCATGCATGGAAACAACCAGATTGTACAGAGATGGGACATATCAAGGCTACAATTGGTGAAATTCGGGCTATCTTAGCTTACGGGAAAATGCTTTTCACCACACATGGAGACTACAGAATCCGCGTGTGGGATGTTTCATCGACAGAAAACTTTAGACCAAAGAAGACGATCACCTTGCCTCGAAGAAGGTCGTTCTTCTCCTATCTGAAGAAGAATAATGAGCAACATAGAGATTCTATCTCATGCATAGCATACAATCACAAGGAGAAGCTCTTGTACACAGGATCACGGGATAAAACAGTTAAGGTGTGGAAAATCTCAGAAAAACGACACGTTGACTCATTTGTCGCTCATGAAGGTCATGTCAATGCAATTGTCTTAAACCAAGAAGATGGATGTGTCTTCACTTGTTCTTCTGATGGCAAAGTGAAAATATGGAGAAGGTTTTTTAGAGAGAGCTCACATATTTTGACAATGACACTTAAGTTTCAACCATCTCCAGTTAATGCCTTAGCTTTATCTCTCTCTCCTGGTGAGTGCGTCCTCTATTCGGGCTCATCAGATGGACTGATAAACTTCTGGGAAAAGGAAAGAATGTCCGGTAGGTATAATCATGGGGGATTCTTGCAAGGCCATCATTTTGCAGTTCTTTGTTTAGCAACGATAAAAGATCTAATCCTTAGTGGTTCAGAGGACACAACCATACGAATATGGAGGAGAGAAGATGGGAACTCCTTCCATTCATGTCTTGCAGTCATTGATGGTCATCATGGACCAGTCAAGTGCTTGGCTGCTGCTCTAGAAACTGAGGAAATCATGATGGGTCTATTAGTCTATAGCGCCAGCCTAGATCAAACTTTTAAGGTATGGAGAGTCAAAGTTTATCCCGCAGAGAAAGAGAAACTGGAGAAATCAGAAGCAAATGATCAGCACTCAAAAACTACAGATTGCAAACTGAGTCCAGTGTTATCACCTTTATGGGTAGAGAAGAAGATTCAGGGCAGTGATTTCTGAACTAGAAGAAATAATAACTATAGTAGCAGAACCAGCCGAGCCAACAACTTCAAGAGTAATATCTATTTAGGTATCTAGTAAACACTGGATAGGACATTTAGTAGCCAACGACCACTGTATAATCCATCAATATACAACTGAAGAAGATATCATCTCTCTTTGATGTTGTATATCTCTAAAGTATTTGAATTTTATTGTAGATATCACTAGAAGTAGAGAGTAGCTTTTCTTGGCAATATATAATCACCGCCATGCTCTCTCTTTGGAAGATGAACTGAAAAAAGGATCCTTCCAAAGACTAATCTGAGCAACAGCAATTACAACAGAGTAAAACATGTACTTCCTGTACTACTCAAATAAATTTACAATAATATCGACATATCAAGTCAAAAGCTAGGAATTTCTGCAGTGTCCCAGTTTGCCTCACAACAAAGCCCATAAACATCCCTTTCAATTAATCAAAACCTGCCCATTATAATGTCTTTATTCTGGATCCAACCACTGCAAGGTACTAGGGATCCATATCATTGGCAACTGATAACAAAATTGATAGTCTCCCCTCAAAACCTTCCTGGCCATGCTAGATAAAATACAAAGGAAGTTTGAGGTCAAGCTAAAGCATGCATTACTCTTGTGGCCATGCCAAATTGACATTGCAGTAGACATCGGTTATAGTCGTTGAAAGAAGTAAGCATTCTTCATTTCTCATTTTCATTTGAAGAAGCAACAGCCTTTTCTCCCAGTTCTGAATGAAAGAGCCTTCCTTGAAATAAAGTAGATCTAATGCAGGTCAATATCTTCACTAATAACATGCATAAGAATGATCTCTAGACTACCTTTGCGCAGCACACAAAGAGCAAGCTAGATGAAACCTCCCCCATCTCATGAACTTGAGTATGCAGAGGGAGAATTATGCGATCAGGGAACATAAAAGTGAATATATTTTTCTTCCATATGGTAGACTTGCAAACAAAAGATAAATTAAGTTCAACCTGTTAGCATTTTTTGTTGTATGGCATACTTGATAGCAATTTCTGTGCAAGCAAGATGATATTCCTAAGGCTGGAAGTGGTCCGGTTTGATTCTAAAGATAACCGAACTGAACCCGAATTTTCGAGTATTTAGTAAGTGGAACCATTCGGTTCCTGAGTTCCGTATAATAATTAAAAAAATTAAAATTTACAATAATACTACATTAATTCAACTAATTACATGTTCAATTTTAACTTTACAAAATAATGTAATTCAATCCTATGATATCTTTTGCGTCTCTCTTTTCTGAAACATTTCATAGATTTGACCGTTAAATCACAGGAAGAGGAAAATAGCGAGCCCACAATAATAAAAATAGGCACACCGAGCTTCCAATTCAATTTCTCCAAAACGGGCACTATAGTAGAAAAAGAAATTTGGGTAAAGCTTAAGTCAATTTGATTAGGTTAGACTTCAACTAGAAACTAAATATAGGAAAATCATATTTTGAGTTTGGGCTAAATTAATTAGTTAGCAAATTTATTTAGAAAAAAATAAAATAATTTGACTTATTTAAGATTTTAAAAAATTAAAAAATTAGGGAAACTCAATTCTTCGATTCTTGGTCTAGAACCGAGAACTGAACCTAACCTCTCGGTTCTCAATGCAAATACTTGTTCACATATTTAACTTAAGAAGAACAACTCGGTTTGGGTCCAGTTCGCAGTTCGGGAGCTTTGTACAACCCTAGATATTCCGGTGCCCCAACAATTTGAAGAAAGTTCACCTCCCGTAAGATTACTTAAATATAACAGAAAGACTTAAATCAGTTCTTTGACCAACAAATTCCATCATGAATCAATAAAAAGCTCATTAGATTTTCTTTCAATATAGAAAATAAATGTGTTTCATTTAAACGCTTCACTCTGAAACACCTGAATACAGTACAAGCTGATGAACATTAACAACCATTAGAGCAGGAGAACATTCCAAATCAAACATTCTATTCCTATTATACAAGGCAGTAAATCATCAACGTATAAAAATCAATCTAGTTGCATGTTTTCAGGAAATGGAATGGAAGCACAGCAATGGTAATATCCATTCTCATCTAAAGCAAACCTTTGAGAGAGATGAGCTTCGCGGATAAGATACTCTCCCCATTCCTCAGAACCATATTGATCAAAGATTCCTCTGGCATCAAATGAATCGAGCTTTCTTGTTCTTTTCTTCCTAAAGGTATTAATTATACGTAAAAAACATATCAGCTTTCCCAATAGACAGAATGAAGCATAATGGTATACTTACCAACATAGCAAAAGATTTCAAAAGCCATAAATAAGATACATGAACATAGAACTAAATAAAAGAATGGCTGTAGTACCTTTTTCTGTGCCGTGCATTCATAACAGTAGCATGCAACTGCAATGCCTTTGTCAACATTAATAATTCCAACAGAAGACATTAGGAATAGAAGTTAGTGGAATTGCATGCTCCAGACACCCAGGAAAATAGAGCTTAAACAGGAAAAGTAATTGACATTTGATAGAATACAGGGTAGTAAACAACATATAATGTAATGGAAAAGAGTGTAATCCTGGTACCACAAAGTTCCCAGTTAAGTGTCTGATGGGCACAGTTCCTGATATCTAAACACTTTATAAAGTTTTAATCCAAGAATTGTCAATAGAAAAATAACAAGGATAGACTGAACCATAGGGTAGAAGTCCATTTTCCCAACTGGCTTCCTCAATGGAATGGATACAACTATGGCCCTATCTTATAAGTAAAAGATTATTTTTCCGCAGGCATAACCTAAATATACAAAGGATAAAATGAAGGATAATTTAGACCAATAGCATAGTCCTTCGCCCGTATAAATGCACAGACTTGCAACAATCAAGCAGGGGTCAAAGCATCAGAGAGAGAGAGGGTGATGGAATGGATACACTTGAAAACATACAAAATGTAGTATGCAACGTAACAATTTGTCCAGGACTTGATAAAATGTTCTTCTAATGAAGGAGAACAAAGTACCTTTAGCTTCTGCCGCACATCTTTTTCGATAACTAGACCAGCCTCAACAAATGCATCAATGATGACGTCTAAGAAAAGCTTAGGAAAATAAGAAACATCAATGATGACGTCTAAGAAAAGCTTAGGAAAATAAGAAATTATTATTGAACGCTTATAAAAGCCAACCAACTCTTGTTCCTATAAACATCAACAATATTAGCAGAGAGATAAATAGATGCCATAAATATGGATACAACAGGCACGCAAAAGTCGGTCCTCGCCACCAATTTCCTGAACAGGAGCATAAAGGACGTGGGCCTTGGCAAACGATCCTCTCATGCATTCCTGCGAGGGCAATGCACACAAAACCTTAATGCCACAAACACTCTAATACTAGAAAAATTATGACAAGCAATGAGGTTTTATGATCTCATCTCACAAAGAAAGATGGGCTTTATGATCTCATTTCGAAACCAGCTATTGCGAGAATCATTTTACACAATATCATCCATAACATTAGCCTTATTTTCTGGTGAAATTGCTCATTGATAAAGTGATTTGATCAATGCATTGAATTACTTGAAAGAAATGCAGATGCAGTTCAGTTCAACTCCAAAGTTAAAGGTGAATAGAAAATGATCATTTCACTTGATCATAATGAACAGGAAACAATGTGCTAACATTTTCTTAGGGGCGGATGAACGAGTCTAGTAACATCAATTTAAGAAAGGGAAGAGAAAAGTCAATAAAATTTTGGTAAAACTATCATAAACACAAGTAAAAAATTGCATGATCTCGTTACAACCTATTATCAACATGTCAACTGAGGGGAAAACTTACCAGCCCTTTGAGTCTAATAGAGACAGGACGGTTATCCAAAGCATCCAGTACTTTTGATGAGACACTCTGGAAGGATAGGAGCAAAATTACTGTCAACAAAATCACAAGCTGCCTAAATAATTTAATGGGATAAAACATTACCTGCAAAACCTCAGCAGCTGCTTTAACTCGATCCTTATTCCATAGCTTTAGCATGAGAACCGTCAAGTGAAATGTTTTTGGTTTGATAAATATAGACTTTTCAATGCCTAAATCTGAATGAAAAGGAAGAAGATCCTAATAGAAGAAAAAAACTATCCTAATAGATATTTTACATATTGAATAAATATAGGCCTAAATCAGGAGACTGATAGAACTATTGCAAGACACGGGGGCATGGAATTATTTGCAAGTTTTCAAAACCTTAGTGGGTTTTCAAGCTGTTCATAAAACAAAAGGGGATGTTGAGCAAAATTTGCAAGCCATGGTGAGATAATTTTTCAATCAACCAATTAAGAAAACGAACATAAAATAAAATGAAATTAAACAACTCCCAGCAGATAGACAGACAGACAAAGCTAAAACAGAAGGTATTAAATACATTAATTTAGGATGAATAAGACTGTGAGGTTCACGTACCTAATAATTTAGAAGACTTTAAATCCAAGGCAGGAGACTTGGACACTTTAGCAGGGTAACTTACAAGAGGTACATTGGTTATATTAATTTTAACATGTGCATGAGCATCTTCAGCCTTAAGATCAACAGAAACTAGTGGTGTTTTATCTGATAGCTGGTCCTTGTCTTCCTCATCGGAAGTATCACCACTCGAATTAGGATCCAGATCTTCACCTCGATTAAGTTCTACAATTCCAAGTATTGAATTCTGAAAATTGACAAGTTTATCAACCAGTCCAGGATGGATAGCCAAAGGAAGCGAAATAAAGTGAGAATAGTCGAGGTTTGGGCCCTTGACCGCCTGTTATAAACATAACTGTATGTTAATAACACAAGGAAACTACAAGCCGAAAAGTAGGCTTACTCTAAGTAAACAACCATAGATAAGTTTCTAGGCAGACAATATTAAAAAGTTATAGTAAATAATACTATGTGGACTATTCTAATTCATTCAAGCATTTAAGAGGAATATTTGGATGCATTATCTTTAAGACTGATCCTCAATTAGCACTCTC